AGAGAGGGGGAGAGGGAGGGAGGGGAGAGGGAGGTAGAGGAGAGAGAGGAAGAGAAAGGGGAGAGTGTGAAAGAGAAAGAGAGAGAAGGGGAGAGAGAAAGAGAGGGGGGGGAGAGAGGGAGAGATACACAGAGAAAGGGAGAGAGACACAGAGAGAAAGAGAGGCAGAGAGGGAGGGAGGGAGGGAGAGGGGGAAAGAGAGGGGAAGAGAAAGGGGAGAGAGAGAAAGAGAAAGAGAGGGGGGAGAAAGGCAGAGGGAAGGAGGGACGGAGGGGAGAGAGTGAAAGAGAGAGACATAGAGAAAGAGAGAGGGAGTGAGAGACACACAGAGAGGGAGAAGGGGAAAGAGAAAGACAGAGGGGGGAGAGGGGAGAGAGAAAGAGAGAGACATAAGAGAGAGAAAGAGAGAGGGACACACAGAGGGAGAGGGGGGGAGAGAGAGAAAGAGACAGAGGGAGAGAGAGAGAGAAAGAGACAGAGAGACAGACAGAGAGAGAGAAAGACAGAGGGGGGAGGGAAAGACAGAGTGAGAGAAATGGGGGCAGAGAGCGGGAAAGAGAAAAATAGAGGGAGGGAAAGAGGGGGAGGGAGGGAAAGAGGGAAATGATACGACAAAAGTTAGTGATGTGATCTCACTTTGCTGACATTTTGGTTCAAGGCTGCTGTTAGCCAGAGGCAGAAAAGTGAGTAGGTTGAGGAACGATCATCTGGCACCATTCTGATTAAATCACAAAAAAGAAAGAATAAAGCATTTGCTCCAGTCTTTTGCTCTTTCAGTAAACTCCTGCGTATCAAGTGCTCCCTGATAAAGACTTAGAATAGTTAATCAGTATTAACTAAATATACCACACTGATTAGTTAAATTTCTTGTTTATTTTTATTTTTTATCTTGGATATAAAAAAATGAAAGAAATCTTGTGACTTGATTGATTCTCCCCCATTTCATGAACAATATATGAGCATAGAAAACAAAAACAGTAGAATTTTGAAACTCAGCCATGTGTTAGAGTGATTAGAACACTATTCACACTGGTATCGAATGGTGAAGTCCTATTTCAGCATGTTTGGAAGACAAAGATTAGAAGTTTATCTCAATATTAGATCAGAAAGTGTGATTCAAATTCCTACTCAGCTGTTAAGTCTCTTTGTCTCTTTGAGTCAGTTGTGATTTTATAGCCTCACAGGATTGTCCTGAAATAATTGAAAATGAAATATTTTAATAGGATCCTCATGTGTTTACATGAAATCATTTAAACTATTTAAGGAATCTATGGAGATTCTCAGTCATCCAGGTCATGGTTGTCCCAAAGGTGCTTTTTCAGGAGGCAACTGGACTTTTTTTTTTCTTTTGAAGATGTTTTGCTTCTCATCCAAGAAGCTTCTTCAGCTCTGNTTTACGACGGTCACAGTGTCCCGAGGACCCCTCTGGGGACCTTCTGACAAGCAAACTCAGTGAGGGGAAAGCAGGTTCACTTCACAGACGTGTGGCTGACAACCGCAGTGATTCACTTAGCAACAGAAGGTCGTAGAATGGGGCAAAACTCTCTTAAATATCACACTTGGCAACAGAAATTTGGGGCTCAGAAGAAAAGATATAAGAGATATAAAAAGAACAAAAAGAGGGGGGGAATCTAGGAACAGTTGATGAGTAAAATTAAATATATTAATCGTGGCAATAGTAGATGTGAGCGAATTATACTAATACTTTTAAATGTGGAAATTAATTATGTTAAATGTTTACATTAAAAAAATGAATTTGAAGAGACATTTTACTTATGGATAACAGATGGAAAGGAAATGATAAATTTGGTTTATCTCCAAAGGGAAGAAAAAATGGCAGTGTTTATGTACATAATAAAAATTAAAAGTTGGAAAATATGAGAAGAAAATAAATACGGCTAAAATTGGAAATGGAAAAGGAAATATAATGTAGAATGAATTATGTGTACGTGAAAAGGTTAAAGGGGGAAAACCGGACAACGCTCTGTTCACAAAAGAATTTTAATTATGTAGTAAAACATTTAAAAAAAAACTCGTTTGCAAAGAAATTTTGGGCTCAGTTGCGATCGTAACCGGAGGACTACATCGGATGCCATCCCAACGCATCTGCAGCAGCCCAGGATGGACCGTCGGCATTGACACAATCCCCGTCAGTCAATTGCAGAAGGCAGCTCCACTTGGGACCGCTCGCATCCTGCCACGAGGCCTTTAACGCCATCACACAACCACTGCTGCCTCTCGCACCAGGTCCTTGGGGAGGGGAGGGGACTCAACAGGTGGGCAAAAAGGGCCAAACTCCAGCCTGAACCCCTGACGGACTCTGAGGGCCAAGCGTAATGGTGGCCAGGGGCTGCCCTTCCCGGCGTTAAACCTGGTTTAGGGTTTACCCTGCGATGACGGGCAAAGGGGCCCAAACCTCCCAGGGGTTTTGGGGTTCGGAGGTACCTCTTGGCACACGCCGTGGAGCAGAAGCGCTTCGAACGCTTGAATTTGTACGCAAAGTCCAGGCGGCCGCAAAGCTCGCACTTCAACTTTGGGGGCGACGCCTCGTCTTTGGATTCTGGCGGGGAGGGGGAGAGAGAGAGCAAAATATTTCAGTTAAGACCAGGCACAAGGAGACACACACACACCATCCCGGGGGCCGCACAAAGGGGGCCAGTTTGCTGCAGGGCACTCCGGGAGGAAGGAAGGAAGGAAGAAAGGGAGGGAGGGAGGGAGGGAAGGGGGAGCAATGCAGGAAGACCCCTGTACCCCCCAATTTTTAAAGGCTCAGGAAAACGACTCCCAGCCCCAGAATTTATGCACCATTTGGACCCTCTGCAGAAGCGAAGAGACATGGGGGGGTGGAGGAAGGTAGGTAGGGGTGGAAATTCGGGAAGGAGACCCTTGTCAAAAGAGGGTTTTTTCTTCTGCTTCCGGAGCCCTCCCAAGGCACCACCCGGGCTCCAACCGAGAGGCGTTCTGCGCATGCTCAGAGTTCCCCATCTCCCCGTCCTTCCCCGGACGCACCTTGGAGGTAGGGGTCTTCCATCTCGGAGTCGGTGGTGGTCTCTTGCAGCTGGGGTTTCTCCGCCAGAACCGCCTGTGCATACTTTTTCTTCAGGTTCCCCACCAGCAGGGAGGATCGGCCCACCTGGCCGGAGAGGAGCAAGGCCGGGATTTAGGGAGCCCACCCCCAACCCCCACCAAAAACAGACTTTTGGGGGGCCAGCAAGAATTGAGAGTCAAGGAAAAGGCTGGAGCTCTGGGGCGCCTGCCCACCCCTCCAGCCTCAAAATGAAGCCCCTCCCCCAGGCACTCCCCACTTCCATCCCATCCCCCCCAGGCTCATTCTGCACCCCATCTAATTTTTTTCTTTTTAAAATCCCATTTCAGATGGGGGGGCAGAGAAAGAGGGGGGGAAGGAGAGAGAGGGACAGAGGGGGAGAGACAGAGAGGGAGAGAGAAAGAGAAAGACAGAGGGAGGGAGGGAAAGAGAGGGGGGAGAGAGACTCACAGAGAGAGGGAGAGAGGGAGGAGAGACAGAGAGGGGGGAAGGAGGGAGGGGGGAAAGTGAGAGAGGGGGGGGGAACAGAGAAAGGGAGAGAGACACATACACATAGAGAGAGGGGGAGAGGGAGGGAGGGGAGAGGGAGGTAGAGGAGAGAGAGGAAGAGAAAGGGGAGAGTGTGAAAGAGAAAGAGAGAGAAGGGGAGAGAGAAAGAGAGGGGGGGGAGAGAGGGAGAGATACACAGAGAAAGGGAGAGAGACACAGAGAGAAAGAGAGGCAGAGAGGGAGGGAGGGAGGGAGAGGGGGAAAGAGAGGGGAAGAGAAAGGGGAGAGAGAGAAAGAGAAAGAGAGGGGGGAGAAAGGCAGAGGGAAGGAGGGACGGAGGGGAGAGAGTGAAAGAGAGAGACATAGAGAAAGAGAGAGGGAGTGAGAGACACACAGAGAGGGAGAAGGGGAAAGAGAAAGACAGAGGGGGGAGAGGGGAGAGAGAAAGAGAGAGACATAAGAGAGAGAAAGAGAGAGGGACACACAGAGGGAGAGGGGGGGAGAGAGAGAAAGAGAGAAAAAGAGAGAGGGAGAAGGAGAGAGAGAAAGACAGAGGGAGAGAGGGGAGAGTGAAAAAGAGAGACATAGAGAGAGAAAGAGAGAGAAAGAGAGAGGGAGAGAGAGACAGACAGAAGGGGGGGAGAGAGAGAAAGAGAAAGAGTGCCCGGGGGGGGGGGAGAGAAAGAGACGTACCGGGAACGGTTCAGCCCCTTCCTGGATGACGAAGCCTTCGATCAGATGCGTCAGGATCTGGGGCTTCACGATGGCTTGGGGGGGCAGCTTGTTCTCCCCGTTCTGGGGCAGGGCGCTGGGAACGGTGGAGGGAGCACTGCCGTTGCCTGATGTCATGCCGGGGGTGCTGGGGTCTGGGGGCGTCGTGCGAACGCTGCCGGGGGTCGCCTCTGCCGGGGGAGGGAGAGGAGGGAGGGAGGGAGAGGAGGGGCAGGCGTGAGGAGGCAGGGTTCGCAGACAAAGGCAGAGGCCCCGGGCGCAAGGCAGCCAGGCCCCTCCCGCCCTGCCCTGATTACCATACAGCTGACTCCCCCCCCCCTCCGCTTTGCCCAAGACCCACGCTGGACAGCCCCCAGCCCCTCCAGCCCCTTGCTCCAGAGGCCGGAGAAGCTCGGCTACCCAATCCCAACCAGCCCTCTGAGCTGGGAGGTTTTCCTGACCCAATTTCGGTAGCCTCCTCGGTGCTAGTAAGTGCTACTACTAGCCCTAATCAATGGGTAAAACTAAGCAGTTTCCTAGCACTGATGATGTCGCCTAGTTGGGTCATGAAACGTCTGCAAACACCACCCCCCCCAAGGACCCCTCGTTTCAACCCTGAGCTGCAAAGATTCCCTTCTGTGCCAACCCTGATTGCGCCAGGAAGCTCCTCCGGGAGCACAATCCCCCCCCTCCCTCGTTTTAAATTCAGCTCCCAACGCACTGACACCAAAGGGACTAGGAGCTTGAAAGCCATGCCGGCAAGCACAAAAACCAGACCCACAGGCTTGGGAGTTTCTTGCGGTCCTAGTTCGGGCGAGGAGGTAGGAAAGTCACAAGACAAGGACTGGGCTCTCCTCCTTCCTGGTCCCACTTGGGGAACCAGGTTTTTTTGGGGGGGTCGGGAAGCGTTTAAAGCCTCGAAAGCTGCTTGCCTCTCTCCCCCACCCCAAAATAACCCAAAAGGGGGGGGGAGCCTAATTATAGAACAATCACAACTAAGCGAGACGTGGATTCACCCTAACAACGGTGCATTTCGGGGGGGAAATGCAAACCCTTAAATGAAACCAGGGACGTTTTCCATCCTGGGCTCTGGGATCCAAAGAGGTGAGGAAGGGGTGGCAAAATGGTACCCCAAATTTCCAGTCGCCGAGGGATGTGCCACGCCCATCACTTCATACTTGCAACTCAAGTGTGCAAATTTCGGCAGGGCCCAGATGTATTTTTTTATAACGACGTTCTGTTGTGATCTAACATGAAAAGTTACAAGATTTTTGAGGATGGTTATTTCTGGGATAAGGAGTGGCTTCGTGTGAACTCAGTGAGGACTAGAAACTTCAGGAGGCTGTGGAAAGGACACAAAGCACAGTTCCCACCTGTTGCTGCCTACCTGCGTGGCTAAAAATTTTCCCCTTCCTCCGATTGCTGATTTACGTTGAGTAAATGGTTTAATAGAAGCAAACAAACAGAAAACCGAGCCGTTCACTCATATGTAGCTAAATAATAAATAAAACACATTTAACAAATGAAAGTCATTCGTAGGAACACGGAAGGCGCTTTGGGAGACGTATATGCAGCTTCCCGGTTGTGTTTCTTGTTTGAAACGGGGTTTGTAATGGTGGTTATGTTCCTTGTTTACAAATCCTACATTTGGGGAAGGAATTCCAGTGTCCAAAAACATGTGATGCCACTATGCCTTTCCCCTCTTAAGCTCTCTCTCTCTCCCAAAAACAAGGCCTATAACTCAAATCATCCAGCGGTAACTCCAGACCAGTTGGGGCAAAGAAGGAAGCATTCTTGGCCGGTGCAAAGTAGTGACAGAAATAACAAAACCACCCAGGTTTCTGGACCTCATGATGTCCGAAGCAGGATGTTTACACAGGCAGAAAGCGTCGGTTGTAAACAAGAGAAATTCTGGCCAAAAAGAACAACGGCCATTCACGGAAGGAACCACCGCCGTCTCCACAAGGAATTGTGGGGAAAGGAGGAACTGGGGGCCCTCGCGTGTTTGCACACAATTTTCTGCTCAAAAAGCAAACTTAGATTTGCAAACGAGAAAAAGGAGGAACCGATTTCTCCTCCCTCTTTTATTCCGCAGGAAGCAGAGAGGGAGACGTTGAGGCCTGTAGCTCTCGCTCAGGAGTTCCAAGCTGACACGCACAGGGCTTTGCACGCCAAGCCGCCTGCCCCCTCCACACACACACACACACACACGCATGAGCGAGCTTGTTGCTCGCTCGCCCGCCTTTGCAATGCCCCGGGAGAGTCGGCACTCCCTGCTCACGCGCCTCCCCGGCGCAGCAGCAGCAACGCATGCAACCTTCACAACAGAAGCCAACAGGCGCCCTTTGCAAGGCATGCTGGGAGCCTTTCTGGGTCAACAAAAGACGCCCAGCTGCCCACCACCACGGGCAAGGCTCCTGCGGGAAGAACGCTGCGCCAGTTGGCCTTCCTCCTGCTTGGCTTGCCAAAGGAAGAACGGCCGAGCGGCACCGTTTGAGGAATTACATACGCACGCCTCTCGTCTTGTCCCCAAACTCCAGCTCAGGAATTGGGGGGCCCAATTCTTAGCTCTGTCACACCCCCAAAATAAGCCTCCCTGGTGGGAGCAGGGGGTTGGACTAGAAGACCTCTAAGGTCCCTTCCAACTGGCGTATTCTGTTTTCCTGTCTTGGGAACGAGGTGTGATTGTAAGCCAAGGACCGACTTTGTGCCTCTAGTACTAACCAACTCAAGAGGAAGAGGCTTTCTAAGCAAGAGTTTGTGCATGTATGTGTGTGTGAATGCTGAAGGCCCCATCTCGGTTAGTTGGTTAGCCAGGTTCGAAATCCCCACCAAACCACGGACTATCTCTACGTAAATAAAACAGTTGCTAGGACATGGGAATCTTGAAATACACAAAGCTGATCCTTTGAAGCAAATTCCCTCAAGGCGCTTCTGAAAGATTTAAGCAGACAGAAACATTCGAAGAACTCGAATTATGCAAAACTCACATAAATCTCATCTAAGGATTTCAGCGAAGGTAGAAAAAAGGAACAAAAACTTAAAAGGAGTCCAGAAAAGTCCCAAAATATTCTGATTTACAGTTGAGGGGGGGAAAAACCACCAGCAGCCGGCGGATAAATTCCCAGGCCAGGCAGGAGCTGTGTTTTCTCCATCAGACCACCAAGAGTTGAGCTGACACATGAGAAGCCACAAAGGCAGGGTCCAGGCAACGCCCCTTAGCCCCCCCCCCCACCAAAGTTACTTTAAATCCAGCTGGTGAGCAGGAAGGGTCTGCAAAACAGGAATCAAAGGTTTTGATTGGCTGGATTAACCGTGGTTCCAACAAAGAGGGTTGGACTAGAAGGCCTCCGGAGGTCCCTTCCAACTTTGTTCTCCTGTTTTTCTGCTCTCCAAAAAAAAAACGGAAGGGGAATGCTCAGCGTCACCACAGCGCATGCGCAGGGAAGGAAGAGCTGGCACGGAAGCCCTGGCAGGGAGGGAGGGGGGGGATTGAGTCACAACACAAAGGGAGCCACCCCTCACTCAGCTGTGAGCCTGGAATTGTTGTGGTTTTCTGTTCTCACGCTCAGGATTTGGGGAGCGGGCTTTGCTTGCTTGTGCCCCCCTTGCACACTCGATGCTGCTCTCTCTGCAAATCCACCCAGGCTGGGCTCTGAACCCCACCCCCCTACACACACACACACACACACAAACACCCCTCCCCAAGCGTGGCCCTAATCCAATCAGACCCGGCTGCCTCCTTTGAGAGGCCATCTGGACTCACAATGCAAATTCGAGCTGGCTTGGAAAGCAACGGAAGCCCCTTCACCCAACAAGCCCACCCCCACTGGGGATTCCTGGCCATGTGGTGCTCCCACCGGAAGGACGGGCCAGCCAACCCCTCCCTCCCTCCCTCCCTCCCTGGAGAGGGCCCAGGCCGCATCTCTGCAGGAGTCAACACTGTTCCCTTATTTATTTCGTGTTTATTTATCTGCCGCCCACCCATCTCACACCGAAAGGAATCTGGGCATCTGGCTGAAGGCCTCTCAGAAGCAGCGTCCCCCGAAACAAACGGGGGGAGGGTCTCTTTTAGGAGAGAAGAAGAATTCACCCCCCACTTAACTTGTTACTGGGGACATTTAATCAATTCTCTCATTGCAATCTCTTGAGACGATGATGAAATAGTAGGGTTGGGAGGGTCCTTGGAGGTCCTCTAGTCCAACCCCCTGCTCAAGCAGGAGACCCTCAACCATTTCAGGCAGGGGGCTGTCTCCTCTTGAAGAGCTCCAGTGTAGGAGCCCCCACCCCTCCTGGAGGCCAGCTGTTCCACTGTCAGGAAGTCTCTCCCCTTAGTTCCAGGTTGCTGGAATTGGGTTCAGAATTGATTTCCGGAAGCAGAGGGACGGAGGGGAAGGGCACCACAAGGGGATCTGCTCAGCGATGGACGGGAAGGACTATTTACAGCCGTAAAAAGCTGCTTTTGCGTCCCCCCCACCCGCCAACCACTTCCTGGAAACAAGGATCCTCTGACACACACACACACACACACACACACACACAGCTCTGAAAAACCGCCTGAAAACATTGAACCGATCTCACTCAAAACAACACGGCAGTGAGCCAAGGGGCAACATTCCTCCAGGAAAGACCAGCAAACTTCGGCCATGGAGGATGATTTTGGGCGAGCCGCCCCCTCCCTCCCTCCCTCCCGGTCTCACCTCTTTACAGAGTTAGCTTCTCCGTAGGTGACACAAAAGCCATTTTACCTCCACATTCTTTTAGAGAGAAGTTGTGGAGGGATGCACAGTGGGGAGTGGGGGGGGGACACACACACGCCATCGCACACCAGAAAACAAAACCCCTCCCCGGCCTCCATTTCCTTTTTCTGGCAGCCCCCTCCCCTCGGGGGGTCTGCAGAGGAAGGGACGGTGGCTTCCCCCAGAAAGTCACAATTTTAGGAAGAAGTTTGGAAAGGAAAAACAAGGGGGAAGGGGAGCTGCACACCTGGTGGGGAGGGGGCCTCCCTTGGGCAGGAAGGGAGAGAAAGGAAATCAGTGGGGCACTGTGATAAAGTCCCCCCCCCCACAAACACTGTCTCTCATTGCAATCTCTTACACGATAAATAAACAGTCGCGCTGTTTCTCACCTTAAAATGTGCGGACTTCTACTCCCAGAATCCCCCCCCCCAAGAATGAGATTCAAAAAAAATATCACTGAAAAAGTTTGAGAAAGAAACTCAAAGCAAACAATCCCCCCCCCCAAAAGATTCTGCTGGGTAGGAGAGGGCGAAGTAGAGAGAAACAGGCTTGCAAATTTGTGTAACCAACAGTAAACAACGTTCCTGACAACATGCTGGATTTTCTCCAGTGTCCCCACTTGGCCTCCCTCAAAGGGCTGGCAGGGAGGTTGTGTTAAAAGGAGACCATTCAGGTTCAGCGACCCAGTTTACGACCCTGCACCAAACAAGGACAGCATCTGTTGGGGGAGTTTGTGACTAGTGGCTAACGTCAACACCTGGGTGTTTTGATAACCCAGGTCAGGCCTTGGGGGCTGTGTGAAGGGTGAGGCAAATCAGGGGAAAGATTTACAGAGGGCACGGCTGGGGGGGCAGGGGCTCCGACTGGCTACCCCCCATCCTATCTCCCCCCACCCAAAGGCACTCCCAGCTCAAGAGAAGGCTGGAGAAAAGCACCATGGGCGTTGCAGTCCCAAAACATCAGAAGGATTCATTCGGGGGGGCCAAGATGCTTCCCATCTGAAAGGGGCTCCTGAAGCCATTTTAGACTGTGCCACCACCCCCTCTTGCCCCCCCCCCCACAAGACAACACAATCCGGGATGGGAGTTGTAGTCCAAGCCAGGCCAACGAGGCCCCCAAGTCCCAAGAACGGCTGTGACTCAAACACGCGTTTCTAAGAGCCCCGAAGGGGAGCAAACTCCCGCTTCTCCGCCTCACTCAGGACCCCCAGACCCGAAAGGAGCTGGCCGGCTGGGAAGCATGGGCGCTGGAGTCCCACAAAGGAACCCACCGCGCTTTCCTCTGCGGGCGGCCCGTTTCCCAACCCAGGCTCAGCGATCAGGTTCCCACGCGGGGCGGAGCAGCTGCTTGGCTCCCCAGGAGACCCCCGGCCCTCCGGTCTCCCCCCCCCGGGGAAGGAGGCGGGGCGAGGAGAGGGGGGGTCCACGGGGGACTCTCCCAAAGGGGCCCCCAAAGTCCAAGGGAACCTGAGGGGGGGGGGCGACCCCTGGATCTGGGGGCCCCACGGCAGACGCGCTGCGCCCCCTCCCCGAGGACAAAGCCCCCCAACCTCCAGTCGCCGCCGCCGCTCCGCCCGGGAGCCGCTTCCCGGCCTTACCTGCGTCCACCTGAGTCACCTGCGCCGCCGCGCCGCCCGGCCCGCCCAGCTCCCCATCCGCGCTGGGCTGGGGCGGCGGCAGAAGGGCCGGTGGGGCGGCGGGGGAAGCAGCGGCGGCGGCGGCGGCGG